TTCCTAGAAGGGAATTTTTCTGCCTTTATATCGAGCTTGTCATTCCAACAAAAATTGAAAGCAGAATTGCTAAAAAATTATTATTTTACCCTAAAAATCGAAGAATTACTGTCCGTTTTTTAAAAAGAGGTCCATTACTTGCCTGCCGACTACAGTGTGATTTTCTTGACTGCTGTTCAGTTATTTCAGAAATATACCGCATTTATGATTAGGTGAAATAAATTTCTGCTCAGCTCTAGCTTTTTTTGAAATCATGATAATGTTGCATTGCTTCAGGAAATAACTACCGGGCCTGGGCCACACCTTATTTATCGTACGATTGGCGGAATGCTGGAAATCCAATTTTTCTCTGGCCCTTCACCAGAGCAAGTTATCCGTCAGTACCACCAGTTCATTGGCTTGCCCTTCCTTCCTGCCTATTGGTCATTTGGATTTCAGGTAACTTCCACCATGCTGCTAGAAATTATTGCTGCATGCACTACATCTATAATAAGCTTTCGTAACAAGCATTTTTATGAGTGTTTTTTAGGAAATATAAACAGGAATGTATTTGTTTTCTTGAGCTGTTTCTCGAAGCACTGATAATAACAGATTATCAGAAAAAATGAGCTGAAATGATAAAGCACAGTTGCTTTGAAAAAAAAAAAAGTTAAAAGTTGTCTGGTAGCTAATTTGTTTATTTAAATACGGTAAGTTCTTGCCTCTTTTCCATTCTTCCCGTCCTTTACTCTCCCCATTTCTCCCAAAAGCTTTTGTCATCCTGTCCGTGACTTTATAATCAATTGGGCATCAACCACATCGGCAATTTATTGCGGTTGTGCGGGAAATCTAAAAGTGCACATGAAAATTTCATTGGAAAGAGAATTGCTATTGCTGTGAATTCGACAATTTCAGCTGTCCCGTTATGGTCACAAAACGCTGGATGATTTGATCACAACTGTGAATCGGAATCTGAATGCAGGAGTACCAGTCGAAGTGGTGCATGCGGATATCGATTACATGGATCGATACAAGGATTTCACTCTCAAGCAAATAGTAATGACTCACAACCTCATTGTGTTTGCTGCTCTAAAGAAATATAAGTACTAGCTGTAATCTGAATGATAGCAGTATTTCTGAATCAGTTAAATTTGTCTATGAGGTTTGCTTCCAAAGTAAGCTGAAGGTGGATTGTTCTCCTGACATAACGAGTCCTAAAGGGTGCAACTATGCACATGACTACTGCGCTGGAACTGGTCTACTAACATTACTCATAGATTAATGGCAGTATTTTGCTAGTGGTCCTTAGTAGAGAGCGAGAGAAAGGAAAAGCGAGGGGAAGTTGTGATAGCTTTCTCTTTCGAGGGTTTTTGTGAAACAAGCTAAAGGTATTCTATGTTCCCTGGCATATGCCTCCACCAGTTCAGCATCGAAATGATCAGCGAATCGCGTAACGATTGCTTTTGGCATTACTGTAATCGACAGCCTTAGTACCGGCGCTACTTATCGCACAACAAATTCGCCTATTTACATTGACTGTGCTTTGTATGCATGATTTTT